AGTGTGCCTGAGAAGGCAGGATTAGGCCACAACAAGCGAGAGACAGGCCAAGAGCCCCACCGCCCACCAGAATCTACTCTGACATTTGTACTTGGCGTTCGAGCTGGACCTTGCAAACATGTGCACTGGACAGTGGGTTTGGATCAAAGTCTGCCTAGATGGTTTTTCACTTGCCCTCGCTTCTCTGCAGCTGTCTGCTCCAAATGAATGATGGATGTTGGCCGGGTTGCACATCTCCAGTGGGCTTGGATAGCCTCTGGATAGTATTGTTTATCATTTTTACACATGTTTTACTAGTACTGGCCCGCACCACACTGTGCAGCCCACTGGGGATTGCATGCATCTGGCCATTCCTTTTCCGCCTCTATCTTTTACCAGCCTGCTGCTCTCGGGGCACCCTCCCCTTGGCTCTTTGGCTCTAATTTGGCAGTCTCTTTCTGCTTGCTGCCATTCACGCCCTTTTATGGCATCTCTCTTGAGATTCATGACTGTGTCTTCTGGGGGACTACTCCAGCACTTGGTCAATCCATTTGCTAGGTCCAAGAACAAATGGCCTTGAAGGATGATTCCATTTGGCGATTCTGGGTCCTGATCTAGCTAATTTTCCAGAATCTTTCTAAGACATCTTTGGGGGGGGAATCATTGATGCTATTTCAAGTTAGCTGGTGAGTCTGAGGTTTTCTGCATGTCACCAGCTGGCTGCTGCCTACGTGACTGAGAAATGATTTGGAAACATCATCTGCCACTTTTGCCAGTTCATGTCAAGTTGGAATAGTCTCTTCATTCCTGATGTTTATGTTGTCACTACCCAGTCCTGCCAACTGTCTATGAACGAGCAGCCTCCGAGGCCCTGTCTGTGAGGCTGCCATGACTCCAGGACCACCTGTTAGCATTTCTTAGAGTGATTTCTCCTTCCCTCTCTTTCCCACCCACCCAAATATGAATGTTTAAGGACCTGGGGGGAAACGTGACTCTGGTACTTTATGGTGTCCTATTGATCTTGTTGATAGTTCCTGCCTTCTATTCCTTAAACTCCCAACTGGGGCCATGCGGTGTGCTTCCAGCATGAGAAAGACAATGAGACTTCATCTCCTGCAGGACAGCTGTTTGAGTACTTTATTATAACTATGACATCTTTTGCTGTAGATTTTGAGGAACTCTATTTCACCGATTGGGGATCTCATTCTTACAGTGTCCCCACGGCTTCATCATTGGCTTCCAGGGGTTGGGGGTGTCAAAGCTGAGTGGGTCAACCCAACATGGACATTCATCTTGGGAAGAATAGACGTGACTCAGGACTGTGAAATAGCACTTTATAGTTCTTCAAAGGAGTTGGGAATTTTACTTTGTCATTTTGATCTTAAATTTAAATTTTAGGGCCTGAGGCTTGGCTTCCAGATGTCTTGGTTAGGAAGTAGAGGCTTGTTCAGGGCTTCCTAAATGAAATCAAATCTTTATTCTCCACAGATGTGGAGGATAGGCATGGTGTGAGTGATTTAAAAGTTAGCATCATTTCAGACTCCACTTTTATCATGCTCAGTGCTCATTCACCATTAAGCCTCTTTAGGATAATTATGGTTATCAAGGAGTGAAACAGCCTGGAAAGTTCCCTTCTCCCTCATCCCCCGGTTCACCCCCGGTGAATGTGCATGTGGCCAGCAATGCTGAAAGGCACAGTGAAGAGGCAAGAGGGTGTGCTGCAAGGTGTCTGAACAATTCACCAACTATCTCCAGCCCCAGGAAGGGTGCTGGGGGCCAGAGACCCAGCCTAGGAAGTGACAGAGAATAGAAGGTGCTTAGAGCTCAGTCCTTAAAGGAGGTCTTTGTTTCTTTCTAAGACAATTAATTCCATATTCTTTTGTAATCAAGACGAAGGTAGGGAAGAAACCAAAGTCCCCCCCTGATTAAATGGGGCCTTATGAGATCTTGAAATCCTGGAGCAACAGAAGAACAGGACTTTGTTTTTGCTTCTTGTGCTAACCAGCCAGGTTATAACCAAACTCTAGAGTCGAAAAATCAAGCTGTCCCCACAACCTGTGATGAGATCATTGGCACCAGAAAGCAAAACGTGGCATGGTCCTCTGGCCTCCCGGTGTGTCATTACCCCAGGGGCTGGTGCCTCGTGTGTGTTCCTGAAGGGTGCGTGGGAGCCAGAAACTCATTCTGGATAAGATGGGTGATAAGACCTGGAGATATAGAAAGAGCAGCCAGGCCAGTGAAGAAAGAGGTGCCATTTGAACTGCCATTTGAACTATTTTGTCCTTGTCCTTGTCATTCTAGGAGAGAAGGGAAATAAAAGTAGTGAATTGCTCCAAGAAACAAGCTTAGAAAAGCTGGGAGCTACGGTGTGGAGCAGGCCACTTTGCCTGAGCTCCTGTGTGCTGGCATCTTCCTGCTGTGTGTGACCTGCTGAGCAGGGTCGGTGGGGCTGAGCTGGCTGGGCCCCAGTGGCCGAGTAGCTCTCTGCAGAAGCGCTGGCCAGGGAGGTGGCCTCCATCCCGCTCACTCTCCTCCCCTCAACTGCTTTCTTCTGGTGGCCCCGACTCTGCCTTCGTTTCCCTTCTCCATGCCTTTGCGTCTCTCTGCCCTGCCTCCAGAGGTTGGAAAGGACAGCAGGCAGGACCTGGGCTGGGCTTTGGCTGCTGCGACTCAGGTGCCTCTGCCTCCCGGGAGCTGTCGGGCTTGCTGCAGCGCCGGATCCCCGTCATGTTTGCAGCGTGCCTGTGGCCCTGGCGCCCGGCAGTGCAGCCTCCCTGCGTGTTGCCTGCCTTGGGAGTCAGGAGGGTTGCTGTGCCCTCTCTTTGCCATCCAGGGCTCATCACCCTGAGAATCTCATGGTTGTCAGTGCCAGGGAAGCCTGCATGTCACTGGCTTTCATGGCATGTGTGATTTGGCTTCAGAAATAAACTAAGAGTGGGGTCCGAGCTCTACTGTCATGTGGCACCCACCATTGTACTCTGCATTTGGCTTTTCAGGAGGACCAGCTGCAAAGAACACCAGATGGAATCAACCCAGTGTCCTCCCTAGGGCTGTGGGATGTGACCCCACATTTGGAGTCAGCCAGTATACAGTGCATGCAGCCACCACCTGGGGATGTGGACTCTATGAGGAGGTGCCAGCCCAGCTAGCTGCTGCCTGTGGGGTCAGGGCACTCTGTCCTCGCTGCACTGGATAACAGCTGCTCCCTGTGGTCTCTTGTTCACCTTGGGGCGAGTGGGTGTCAGATGGGCCCGTTTGTTTTTTCCTATAGATGGAATGTCCCCTAATTCATTAAAGGGATGACCAGGACCTACAGTTGGGGAACAGCGGCTGTCACCAAGGAAGCTGCCTGTTGGCCAAGGCCCAGCAGCTGAGAAGAGAACTTGCAGCCAGGACTGAGCAGACCGCAGGAGTTCAGCACAGCCTGTGTGGAACGTATGCACGCGACGGGCAGAGGAGAAAAGGCACTGGGGGGAGCGGAGGGGGCCTGGGAGGGGCAGGAAGATGGCACAAGGATGAAGGGGGTTCAGTGAAAAGGTGTGTGCTGTGGGAGCCGCAGTGTGACCCCTGATGGCTCACCCTGTGGTGAACGAGACGCCCCCCACCACTGCCTGAGGAGCAGCTCTGGGACGTGAAAGCTAACTGGTGTCTCAAGGACGAGAGCAAGGTGCTCCATCGCATGTCCTGCTCCTTCCTGTTGCTGGACTCTGAGAAGATGTGCCTCCATACACCTCATTTGCAGTTGGCCACCCAACCCCTCCCGGGTACACCTGGCCCCAAGGTGACCTGGTAGAATGACAGTTACTCAAAGACACACCCGAGGCTTGGGAGAGTGACGCCAGAGCTATGGAAGGAGCCGATGTTTTATTGCAAGATAAACTACTGATTGGAACACACGGACCTGTCTCGGCCCTTGCCCCAGTGGAGAATGGAAGGTGCTGGTCACTGGTTCGGCCCTTGGGAACAGACGGGCTCCTTCTGCCTGCTGCCGCTTTAATTGTTCAGAAGGCCTGAGTAGGAGGCAAACCTCCCGGGAGCAAGTACTGGAAAAATAAAGGCTTAATAAAGAACACTGGTTGGTGGGAATTTGGTAAAGGACCACAAAAAATGATTACATTCTGTAATGATAAATACAGTGATTAAAAAAAAAGTAGTAGCTAAGTTTAAAATAAATAAAACACTAAGACCTTTCCCTCTCAAAGAACAAAAACAAACAAACAAAAATACCACTTTGGGCATTATAGCCTGGGCCTCTCTGCCCACCTCTGTTCAGCTCACACTTCATTCCAAGAGGGGCTTTACCTGTCCCACTACAGAGCGTGGAGT